AGTACTGATGGAAAGAATTTACTGTAGTGGTACTTGAACTTGATCAGCATAGCCCTGTTAATGAACAACTTAATACATTATCCCTCTTAGTATTTTTTGTCTGTTCTACTTAATACTACTGGTTTAATTCTGTAATTAATACACAGTTATTCTTAAGTGTTAAAATTTAACTGAAATGTGATCCCTGTTAAATATAAGAGTGGGAATAAGAGAGGGAAGAGATGTATAATTTAAGACGTGCTCAAGCTGACTTACCCCAAATGGTAGAGTTAGAAACATACCAGGGGATTCCAATTCAAATGCATCAAGGTGGCATGTACCAATGCCATCTCACTAGTCCAAGTGATCGATTTCAGTTTACAATTGATCATAATGAAAGGACTAAGAGTCAATGGGATCACATTAACAAGTCTAGTGCCTGCTAATACTAACTGATAGAATAAATAAAGGGGAGAGTGATCCAACATGGGAACTGAGATACACAGCAGACTCATAGAATGGCAGATGTCCTAAATAGCACTCTGGCCTCAGAATCAGCCCTAAAGGCATTCAGATCCAGCTGAAAAGCCCATGAGAGTATTTCAGGCATGGAAAGCCAAGACACTCTGGCAAAAAAAAAAAAAAAAAAAAAACAACCCTAAATGAAAGATCTCTGTGAGTGAGATCCCAGTGGAAAGAACAGGTCATCAAAGAAGGAGGTACCTTTCTCTGAAGGGAGGAGAGAACTTCCATTTTGACTATGACCTTGTCTAAATAAGATAAGAGTCGGAGAACTCAAAAGGCTTCCATAGCCTTGGAAACTCATGACTGGAGCATAGGGAGATTACTGATGCCATAAACAGTAGTGTCAATTTGTAAAGTCAACAACAGGAGTCACTGTGCACTTACTCCTCATGTAGGATCTCTGTCCTTAATGTGCTGTACATTGAGATTTAATTCTATAACGAGTATTCAAACAGTATTTTTCACTTTGTGTTTCTATGTGGGTGCAAACTGTTGAAATCTTTACTTAATGTATACTAAACTGATCTTCTGTATATATAGAAAATTGAAAATGGATCTTGATATGAATGGAAGGGGAGAGAGATCGGGAAAGGGGAGGGTTGCGGGTGGGAGGGAAGTCATGGGGGGGGCAATGTAGTCCATAAGCCGTACTTTGAAAATCTATATTAATTAAATAAAAGTTTAAAAAAATCTCTGCAAGTCCAAGTGACTGACATAAAAACATCTTAAAGGCATCTCAGAAAGGGACACCAAATTTATAAGAAAATAATAAGTTGTTTGAGTAAAAATACTCATCTTCAGGAAAATCTAAAACTGCTTTTCCAAGAAGCTGTATTGTGGAGAAAATCAGTGTAGGAACCAATGGAACAGGAAAAAAATGTTTGACAATTCTAACATTTTGATAGGACAGATTGTAAATAACAAAGCCAGTTAAGAACTCTGACTAGAGTCTTGCTAAAGATAAGATTACCTGTTTTCTTCAGAATCAGAGGGTGATCATCTAGACTATCAGTCAGAGTTGATTTGGGCAGAAAATCGTTAAATTAAGGTCTTCCTTTAGATGGCTGGAGTGAGAAAAACAAGATTTTTTACTATTATGTAAAGAAAATCAAGTGATTGAAGCACTTATAGTTCAAATGAAAAGTTTTTAAGCTGGCAAGCATCTTTACAGTCTGAAATGTACAACGTGAAAGTTAAATTCAAAAGCTTCCACTAAAAGTTCAAATTCTACCTGATATGCATAAAGAATATTTAATGCAACTTTGCAGAAAATGAGTAGGGGAGGGAATTTACTACTTAAAAATAGAGGTGAAAGAAAATCCCCAAAGTGTATGAAAACATAACTCATGTGCACTGGAAGCATTCTTTCTAAAGAAAGAATTTCCATCTCAAGGGCATACTGGGGCAGGGGGAGTTTTTAAAAAGCTTGCAGAAAATACATATTATGAAAAACTATGCATGGATTTCAGTTTATTGCACTAATCTTTAAATTCTACCTCACAACTTTTTGAAATCTAGTCATATTATCTCCCTTGAGAAACATAAGAAACAGTGTTGGCAGCTCTGACAATGAAGGGTCATCTCAGAAGGCTGGGAGAAGAATAAAGCTACAATGGACAAGAACTGATGAGAACAGAGTTTTAATTGATATGGATTTTCAAAATTCCTCTGAAAGCTCTACTCTTATTTGCAGTTCATCTGAGTGCAGCAATTTGGGGACTCGTTGAACAGAATGTTTGCTGCACATTGATTTTTCAGTCAGAATTGTGTAAGCTGAGTCAGTTGAGATGTCTACAGTGTTGGTTATTGTTTCTGCTGTTAATCATCAGTCTTCATCAATCAAGACATGAACAATATTAATTTTTTCCTCCCGAATTGATATGGATGAATGTGCTGCTATGGGCTTCATCATCAACGTTTTATAAATCATCAGTAATTTCACCATTCTTCCACCCAAGCGTCACCATAATTTTGATATCTGTTATGGCTTTAATTTTAGCAGAATTCATGGTGCTCTAATAGTAGCTGTTTGCAAATCATCCTCCTTAGTGCCTCAAACTAGATCATGTTCAGATACATTATGATAAGTTAGCATATATTTGTTCCAGCACAAAATTTTTTTTAAATCCATGCATAAATTCTTTTACAATATACATTTTCCATAAAGTTTTCGAAAACCACATGTTCATAGTAAATGAAATTATATACAGTGGTATGTAAACAATGAAGTACACTAAAAACACATGAGCCCTAGAAATAAGTTCCCTCATCTATAAAATAACAGAGTTAAACAGAATTGTTTCTAAGGATCCATTCATTTCTATTATCTCAATGCCAGACCTATCTTATGAATCTCAGACCCTTATTCAAACTACCTAATTACGTATTTGGTACAATACAATTACTACTTAAATGAGCCACTTGGCTACTTCATAGATCCAAATTCAACATACCCAAAAATAAATGTGTATTTCTTCCTGTTTTTCTGTCAAGAGTCCCTATTGTGGTGAAGTATCATGTCATCTACACAGTGACCCAAGCCAGAAACCAGGAAATCATCCTGACTCTTCCTTCACATCATATCCAATAAATCACAGAATGTTGTTAATCCTTTCCCCTATATATAAAATGTATCCTCAGGCCCCAAAATATTCCTGTCACTCAAATCTGACTCACCATAATCTCTAACCTGAACTGTTGTCATTATCACTGCTACAGTAGATGCACATGTCATTGCTTCCACCTCTTGCATCCCCAGTTCAGTGGAGCCAGAGCAATCACTTTAAAATACAAGTCTGGTCAGGCCACTCTTCTTAAAAACACAGTGCCTTGTAATTGTTGATACAAATTCCAAGTTCTAATACACTAAAGAAGTCCCTAACTGATGGAATGTCTCTTTCCTCCTGCTTCCACTTATACTTTGCAAGGCATGATTTCCACCCCCCAAACATTCTGTCTTTCTAACTCCTTGAGATGTCCTGTGTCTTGAGAGCTTATACTCATGCCTTAGTTCTCAATTTTGGTGTAACTTTCTTGTAGAAGACTTGTTTGATTCCCCTCACACCTTTTTATATAAAATTCCTTATTAGATGCTCACTTAGGGCCATGTGGTTCTCCTATGTGGCATACAGCATATGTCATATGTAACTATTCAATGAGAGTCATTTATTTAATGATAAACTCAGTCTCTGTAGCAAGAAAATGTGTTTTTCTCAAAAGGGCTGTGTCAAAACTATCCTGTGCTTAACCATCATACTTTATGAATGGGAGGGAGGAAGGGAAGGAATCTTATATATTATGAGTATGAGTTATTAGGCATATACAATCCAAACACAGCTCCAACATTAAATAAAACATCAAGCTTCAAAAAAATCTCTAGCTTTCTTCATGTGGTTTCTTTGCCCCTGCTATTCCCAGAAAGAAGTGCAAGAGGATCAGGAGATCCACTAGATAATCAGGTTTTCAGGGAAGGAGGGTTCACTGTGAAGAGTCCAGGGTCATATGCAGGTTTGATTCAGCTTTCTCATCTAAACATCTATAACTACACAGCATTTAACACTGTTTATTCTCTTTAAAAATAATTTTATCTCTTTTTTAGTGTAACTATGGTTATTTCATTGATGTTACATTTGATCTTATTGAAGTTTTATAAAATCATGTGTTGCCAAAGTAATGTTTAGAATATAGAAAATTTTAATATAATGCTCATAATTTGGCCATGTTTAAGCAACTTGAAACAATATATTTGATATACTATGAGATGTCATTAAATAGAATATGTCCTATACTGCTTATTCACATTTCTAGATTCAGCTTGTTGATTTTTTGCTTATCTGTGTTCTCTTTTTATTTGAATCCATTCTGTAGATCCTCATGGCAATGCTGCCTACAACTTCCTTTACTTATTATTACAAGTTGTGCTAGGAGCCAGGAAGCTGAAGAACTGGGCTCTGAAGTTGTAATCAAACCCAATATGAGAGTGAAATATTAGAACCAGATATACAGATAAGAGCAAGGAGCATTGTGTCAAGAAAACCAGCTGGTACTACAAAGGCCAATCTTGGCATTTATTTGTTGGCTTTTAGTGTACCCTTCAAGTCTCACTTTCATCGAATCCACTGACAGATTTTCCTAGGCAGCTACATCCAAACCAACTTTCATTCACTTTTTAGATCAATACACCATTATTGGCAAGAGATACAATCCAAGACTCCTGATAGATGCCTGAAATTATGAAAAATATTGAACTCTATATACACTGTTGTTTTTCCTTTACATACATATCTAGAGTAAAGTCTAATTTATAAATTAGGCACAGTAATAGATTAGGCAAAATAGTTAATAATAGAAAAAGTATTAATAAAACAATAGTCCATTGTTAAGTAAAATAAGAGTTACTTGAACACAAGCACTTTGATACAGTGACAACTGATCTGCTATCCAAGAGAGCTAGAAAGTGACTGATAGATGTGTAGTGTACAGAGTGTACATATGTTGGACCAAGAGATGATTCTACTGAGTTGGATGAGGTAGAATAGTGTGATTGTTTCATCATACTTCTCAGAACAGTGTGAACTTTAAGTTACAAACTGTTTATTTGTGGAATGCTCCAATGAATATTTTTGAACCACAGTTGACCAGAAGTAACTTAAACCCCAGACAGTGAAACAATGGATGAGAAGGAACTACTATGTCAAAATGTATGTTTTTTCATACAACTAATTACAATTGTAATTTATAGGTTATTTACTCATTTTTATTAATCTAGTTCCCCTATTAAACTGTAAGCTCTCTGGGGTCAAGGACCATGTCTACTTTATTTACACTGTTCTCACAAATCTCAGAACATGCTTGGAACTCAGCAAGTATTTCTTGAATAAATAAATAGATAAGTGCTGCTAGTATTTAAAAAGGGAAAGGAATGAAATGAAAAACTCTAAAAGCTTTCTTCTTAGAAGACCAATGCATTTCAAACATTATTGTAAGCATAATTCACTTGGGAATCTTGATAAACATGCAGAGCCTGATCTACTAAATCTGAAATTCTGCATTTTTGCAGTCTCAGGTGATGCTGAGGTTGCCGGTCCAAAGGTCACCCTTTGAATCATTATACCACAATTCATTATGATTACCATCGCCAGTTTACACCGGCCTTTTCAATAGAGATACTTTTATGAAACCATCATAGAGAGCTCATTTCTTTCTCTAAGGTTAATATTAAGAGATATGCCTGTTAAGTTAGCCATGGCTTTCTATATGAATCCTGATGTGATAAGAGGTTAAGTCAGGAAACACTCTGTTCCTTCTGTGAAATGTGTGTATTGTCCTCTTTCCCAAGGAAAACTAAGTAATTGCAACCATATCGTATTTTATTCTGGACAATAGGAATTCAAAGCCAAATTTGTGACAGAAACACTACAACCTTATACATCTATAGACGAACATATTCGTTTTTCATTTCTCTGCTTTACTTTCATTTTTAACTTACATTTCACTTTGTGTAGTCCCCTGCCCCCAATTACAGCACTTTACAAACAAATACTCATGGGAATATTAAGCTGGAATATCAGTCACTGGCAAATTTCATAAGTCAGAACAATAACAACAAAAAAGCCCTCAACAGAGGTAAGAATATTCAGAGAACTGAGTTGACTAATATAGTTGGAACAGAGGATTCACTAGCTTAGCTAAGCCACTTTTAAACACTTGACATGATATGGAAGGAACATCATTATGTTCTGTTGTTATAAAAATAATGAGCTGAGTCTAATGCCAAAATAACATTGCCAATAGCATAAATCAGATTTCAATCCCCTAGAAGTATATCCTTGGCAAAAAGAGAGTATCCTATTCATCTTGTTCTCTTTAGTGCCTAGACCTGCAGTAGATGATAACTTGCAAGTACTTTTAAATATTTAAATAGTAAATGAAGTTGTTTGTAACCTAAAAAATATATCACTCATCTTGAGATTATTATATAAATGATCTGTTGCTATTAATTTCAATTGCCAATGTGCATATGTGTTTCCGTACTAAATCAGGATGTTTTCAAGGGATTCCAACACTACCTTCTGTTTTGGTATGACATAGCAATGCAGTTTGTTTCTCTTTTATGGTTTTTCAGGCAGTTCCTGAATAGTCAATGAATCGTTAATCAATCAGAAAATGAATACTATCTGAGCAAATATTCAATGAATTTTTCTCAGATAGTGATTAATAAAACTGAATTCAACTATGAAAATCATTCCCTTTTAAAAGATGAAATCATGGGGCTGGCGCTGTGTTGAAGTGGGTAAACCACCATCTGCAGTGCTGGCATCCCATATGGGCACTGGTTTGAGACCCAGCTTCTCCACTTCTGGTCCAGCTCTCTGCAATGACCTGGGAAAGCAGTAGAAGATGGCTCAAGTCCTTGGACCCCTGCACCCATGTGGGGGACCCAGAAGAAGCTCCTGGCTCCTGGTTTCTGGTCAGCGCAGCTCCAGCTGTTGCTGCCACTTGGGGGAGTGAACCAACAGACAGAAGCTCGCTCTCTCTCTCTCTTTCTCTGCCTATGCCTCTCTGTAACTCTGCCTTTCAAATAAATAAATCTTTAAAAAAATAAGAATCATGTACTTTCTCATTGACAGACACATTTTGAACTCACTATGATTCTTTGAAATTTTTTTAAAAAGTGCTTACATTTATAAACTGGAAGAGAAATTTGTGACTCATTCCAAACTAGAAAAATCTAATAACTTTTCCTTATTTGTTTCTATTGTGCTGTCCTTTTTTTATTTTTTCTGCCTATGCTGGGAATTATGGAGAAATATACAAGTAAAGGAAAGTAGAGTTTCTTCCCTGACAGAAGCCAATAAAAACCACAGCCTGAGAGATAAAACATCAGTTCAAATAGCTCTAACAATGCCACAAAGAGCCTGGCATATTGCATAGGGAAAAAAAAAAAAAAAAAAAGTAGGCCACTGCTGATTGATATGGTCTGTGAATGCATCATGAAGAAGGCAGCATTTTAGATGGGTCATAAAAGAGATTTGCTTCAAAAATGAATATGACATGAGTCATATTTCCGTATGACATTTTATATTTGTTAATTTGACAGAATCCACAAGTAAGGGAGCCATCTATTTTTTTTTTTTTTTTTGACAGGCAGAGTGGAAAGTGAGAGAGAGAGACAGAGAGAAAGGTCTTCCTTTTGCCGTTGGTTCACCCTCCAATGGCCGCCACGGCTGGCGCACTGCGGCCGGCACATCGCGCTGATCCGAAGGCAGGAGCCAAGTGCTTCTCCTGGTCTCCCACGGGGTGCAGGGCCCAAGCACTTGGGCCATCCTCCACTGCACTCCCTGGCCACAGAAGAGAGCTGGCCTGGAAGAGGGGCAACCGGGACAGAATCTGGCGCCCCGACCGGGACTAGAACCCAGTGTGCCGGCGCCGCTAGGTGGAGGATTAGCCTAGTGAGCCGCGGCGCTGGCTTGCCATTTACTTTCAATATCGCCATGCATTATTGCTAATGTGGAAAAAGATTTACTTGAACAGCAGAGCAGCAGAGTGAGGCCAACACTCCACATTTCTTACTTTAATTAACTTCTCTTGTCACAGTGCTATACCAGCTTTCAAGTAATACAGTGTTGGTTATCTTATTATCATACCGCATTTTTTTTATTTTTCTGCTTGCCAAATTTTACATCATATAGAAAATTTAATTAATAAAATCAAATCCCTCATCTCAAAAAAAAAAAATACCCAGACAGATGGGGCCAAGTTGGCAGTGAATATAGTTACAAAATGTCATTTAATAACATTTTAAAATTATTAGAACTATTTTTGAAGACTTGCTTTAAGCAAGGAACTCCGTTAATTATTCTCTAAATGCATCATTTCATTACTTATCACAACACTGTATGTGGTACACACTATTATCACTCTGTATGATACAGATAAAGAAGGTAAGGCACATGTAATTAAGAACTTGCCCATGATTGCCCATTGGTAAATAGAAGATGTGGGATGTGAATCCACACCAAACTATCAGGACAAAATTGTGTAGATTGGAAGCCCTATCAACTAACAGACTCTACAAGCCTCTGTTACAAACTAGAAGAATAAATGTGGACTATTGTTTAATCAATGGCACAGACTCATAAATGAGAACTTAAAGCAGTGTGATTTATTCTTTGGTGAAGAGAAAACAGTTATTCATCTGGAAGTCAGTGGGTTTTAATTCATGGTCTAGAAACAGAGAGAGAGAGAGAGAAGGAGAGAGAGAGAAAGAGAGAAGGGGAGGGGAGAGGAGAAGGGAGGGGAGGGGAGGGGAGGGGAGGGGAGGGGAGGAGAGGAGAGGAGAGGAGAGGAGAGGGGAGGGGAGGGGAGGGGAGGGGAGGGGAGGCCAAAGTGGAGTTAGGACCAAGCTGGTAAGAACGCAGCGGGTGCGGGTGGGAACTCTAGGACAGGGCACCAGCGGGACCAGGAGAAGGCCGGACTCATTGTTGAGGGAATCTGATTCCCAGGGGAGGACAGTAGTGAGGGGCAGACCGGCACAGGGCAGGTGAGGCGGAGTTTGAGACTGGGACCACCAGGTTCGCTCCAAATTCTTTATTGAAGATTCGAAATTTCCACTTTTCACGTAGGGACTCTTTCCTTCACACCCTCTCAGTGCCCTGTGTCCATATTCGGTTTTGTCCCTGTCACTCCTGTCACACACGGGCGTCCTCGGCCTGCGCGCTACGGTTCCGTTGGGCCCCTTAAGGAGACCCAGATGAGATGGAGACAGCCAGGATGCAGATGCGGCCAAGGCTTCAGAACTAAGTGAAGTAACCGAGGGCCACGAGGAGGGGAGCGATGGACCGAGCCTGTGCTTCCTGCGCCGGCTAGCGGCAGCCAGGACCCCACCGAACTCTGGGGAGCCCAGGGACTCCAGCAAGCGGGCAGGAGGCCAGGGACAAAAAAGGGGCTGTCATTCACCTGCGGGGATGGCTGACGCTGGGCTTTGGATATCAAGTCAATCTCTGCTGCTCACAAAATAATTTGACACGCGCTGGGCCTGGCGTTGTGGCGCTGCGGGTTAAGCCTCCGCCCACTACAGGGCATCTGGAGAAAGCAGAGGTTGGAGTTACAGCTGCTCCGCTTGGGGTCCAGCGCCCTGCTAATGCTCCTGGGAAAGCCCTGAAAGATGGCCCTAGTGCTTGGGGCCCTGCCTCCCTCATGGGAGACCCTGATGGAGTTCTGGCTCCTGGCTTCCTCCTGTCCCAGCCCTGCCACTGCAGCCATTTGGGGAGGGAACCAGCGGATGGAAAATCTTTCCTTTCCCCCTCTGTGTCACTCTGCATTTCAAGTAAATAAATGAAAGAAAGAAAAGAGAGGGAGGGAGGAAAGGGAATGGAAGGGAGGGGGAGGGAGAGAAGGAGAAAGGAAGAGAAAAAAAGCATTTGACAACCTCTGAATCGTGAGGTTGTCATCTAATTTCACCCGGCAAGAAGACTATCCACTGAAAGGCTGTAGCTCAAACTGGAGCCATGACGAAATGAATTGACTGGCTCACCAGCAATGATAGTAGACGGGATATTAGAGATGGTTTTATTAGGAAAAACACTCCAACTGTCTTAGGAGGATGAAGGACTTGGGAGAGTATCAAGCTCAGATTAAAGTGCATTTAGTTGTAGAGCCAGGCTCTGAGACAAAACCCGAGTAAAACCTTTTTATTTAAAATGTTAATGACTAAAGTGCCAAGATTGGAATAAAAAGGTTTTGCACTTACTTCTTCTAGTTACCCTATAGTTCTATTAAAGTGTAGCAGTAACACCAAATAACTGGTTTTTCATTGTCACACAAGAGGAGTTTTCCTGTATTCGTCATGGAATGCTAATACAATAATTTTTTTTGCAATGTCGAGAAAGTTTTAACTACTTAAAGGATTTATATAGTGTTTCACTCATATTTGTGATACAAAAGATAATTCAATAAAATCAAATTTCATGCTAAAATTCTCATTTAAAAGCCATTAAAAATTGCTAATGTAAAATAATATAACAATGAAGAAGGACTTGGGATTTCTTAAAGCAATATATTGCATGCAAATTTTTTGGTTGTACTTCTTTTAAAAAAATATGCTCTCCCAAGTTATTTTAGTAATTACTTCAGGAATTTTACCTTCCCTTTACTTTGGACTAGTTTTTGTTTTCTTAAACCAAAACGATGTATCATGTTCTTTCTTCAACGTAAAATACTTGAATTCCAAGTTTGTATTTCTCTCCTCTCTTTGTCTAAAGACAAGGGTCTCATACTTTCAGTTTGTCTTATTTTTTATTTCCTGTAGACACCAATCAATCACCAAATGTGAATGCTGAATACTTTGCAACAATTGATCTCTCCATCTTCATTGAAGCAGTTTATCTCTGGGATTCTGAATAATTTCTTACAACGGGTTCCATAAGACTAAGACTGAAACTCTTATTTTTCCCTTCATCAGTTAGTTGGCTATTATACAAAATAATAAAAGAACAAAAAGAACAAAAATTTGCTTTGAGCACATTAACTTTAAATTTCTTTATTTTCCAAATAGGTTACTGAGCAAAATATGAAAAATAAGGACACTATCAGAAAATGTTTATGACATGATAACAAATAGGTGCAGCATCTTAAGTAGAGAATACTTACACTTAAAAGTCATAACTTGTATGTAACAGTGCATTACATTTTAAGTCCAGCTATACTAATGACAAAGTAATGAGTACAAGACAATGGAATTACTAGTTCGTTTTGGTTTACTGGCACAAATATTTCCTATGCATGCACATATAATTGCACTCATTTTAAATTTGTTTAGAGAAAACTCTGCTGGGGTGGTAAGGAGTGAAGAAAACACATTTGACCATTATTAACATTGAGAATAATATAAATTCTCTTAAGTGAAATGGAGCTCAAAGTAGTTACTCTGTGAGTACAGAAACTTTCAATATTTGAATTATGACCATTTTTTATTTGCTTTAGATTTTTATTATTTGTTTTTCACACTGTCTACCTTTTATTTGCTCAGGCATGGATCGAGACAGTGAAGGATGTATGAAAAAGATCAGCAGTGTGAATCTTGACAAGCTTATAAATGACTTCTCACAGATGGAAAAGGTATGTAAGGGTAGCAAACAGTTGCATTATATAAGGAAAAATTAAATAGATTTTGCCAATAGATGAAGTTGAGAAGAAAGAAAAATGCACCCAAAAATGAGGAAGGTAAAGATAATGCAAATTATTTTGCTAAGACCTTTCTCTCTCTTTTAAATTTTTAATATTAATAATATTTAATATTTAATAATAATATTTAATTCTGTATTTAAGATTTTTATTCATTTGTACTAATAGATTAAAATGTTTCTTAAGCAAGGAACAAATAATTGATGTAAAGTTAAAGAGAAGCTGCATCCTTAAATGTCCAGGATGTCCATAAACTCAGGAATAGTTTTAGAAAAAATTAGACTAATCTTTCAAAATTCTATAGTTAAAAGTAACTGTAATTTTTTTTAAAGATTTTATTTATTTATCTGACAAATAGAGTTATAGTGAGAGGGAGAGACAGAGAGAAAGGTCTTCCTTCCACTGGTTCACTCCCCAAAGGGCCACCACAGCCAGCGCTGCGCCCATCCAAAACCAGGAGCCAGGAGCTTCTTTCTGGTCTCCCATGCGGGTGCAGGGGCCCAGGCACCTGGGCCATCCTCCACTGCCCTCCCATGCCACAGCAGACAGCTAGACTGGAAGAGGGGCAACCGGGACTAGAACCGGGGCGCCCATATGGGATGCTAGCACCACAGGCGGAAGATTAACTTATTGTGCCACGGCGCCGACCCCAGTAACTGTAATTTTGTTTTAGAGTTTTCTTCTGTTCTCTATGTTCTCTTTTCTTTCTATTTTGCTTAAAACCAAACTGGGGAGTGGGCGTTTGGTACAGCAGTTAAGATGCATTTTGAACTAATCACATCCCATAGTGAAGTGATTAGTTCAAGTCCAGGCTCTGCCTCCAATCCATTTCCTCCTAATTGGGCACAATTAGGGAAACAATAGATGATGCCTCAAGTACTTATTTCCTTGCCACCATGTGAAATCGAATTCCAAGCTCATAGCTTCAGCTGTTGTGGGCACTTGGGAAGTGAGCCTGTGGATAGAAGATAATTTGTGTGTGTGTTTATGTGTATTTCTTGCTGCCTCTCTTTTCCTTCTTCTCTCTCCCTATCAAAGAAATGAAAAGAAATAAATAAAAAGTTAATTTAAAAATTGAAGTCCCTTTCCCCCTTCTCTGTACACAGTCAACCAAACCCATAAATATAAATTAATATTGGTTTTTTTCCCTTCCTCTGCTAGGCAGAAGAGTTGAAATGATGTTGAAACAACATTTAGGTGCATAAATTAAACAGAGAATTTGTGAAGCAAGAGTAGGACTGAGTATAAGACCTATCTCAGTTTTCCTTTTTCATTCTTCTCTGTTCCTTTTTTACTCTGCACATGTGAGTGCACCTGCTCACACACACATACAGTGCCATAAAGAAAAAAAATTGGCCGGCGCCGTGGCTCAATAGGCTAATCCTCTGCCTTGCGGCGCTGGCACACCAGGTTCTAGTCCTGGTCGGGGCGCCGGATTCTGTCCCAGTTGCCCCTCTTCCAGGCCAACTCTCTGCTATGGCCCGGGAGTGCAGTGGAGGATGGCCCAAGTCCTTGGGCCCTGCACCCCATGGGAAACCAGGAGAAGCACCTGGTTCCTGCCATTGGATCAGCATGGTCCGCCGGCCGCAGCGCGCTGGCTGCGGCGGCCATTGGAGGGTGAACCAACGGTAAAGGAAGACCTTTCTCTCTGTCTCTCTCTCTGTCACTGTCCACTCTGCTGCCTGTCAAAAAATTTAAAAAAAAATTCATTATGATGGGATTTTAAAGTAATGTTATGAATTCTTCTTAAACAATGAACTTGAATTTGCTTAGCCAAGTGATTCTTAGCATACTAAGAGAGAAAAGAGAAAGAAATAAGTTTTGTTTATATGAGAGAAATTACAACAAAGTTCAGAGATTACTTTGGAAATATATGTTATATTCTTAAACATTCTAAGTAGGAAATAATTGTTTTTATATTAAAATGGTATTTATGTCACATTTTAAAAGTCTTAGCACTTAGTAATAAATATATATGATGGCATTTACACATGAAATAATATGTCAGGAAATTGCTTAGAGATAAATTTTGAAGTGATAAGACTGGGACTGTGGATAGAGGTATTGATAACACAAGGCAGGTCATGAATTGATGATTTTTGAAGCTGTTTGATGAATAAGTGGAGGCTTATTGTGTTCATAAAATACCAAAGATATAAGTTCAAAAATGTTTTTTGTCTGTAATAGCAAAACAAAGTTTAGAAAAAAACCACAAATTCTCCTCAATAGTATAGTTAAATTATAGCATATTCAAAAATGAAACTCAGTGCAGCTGCTGAAAGGATTGAGGTGGACATACACATACTTATATAACATCATCTCCAGTTAATAGGGCTAAGTGGAATAGCCAAGAAATAGGATAAAATGTAATATGATCCTTTTTATAGTTGATAGTCATAACATATTTAGGAAACATATACAAGGAATTGTCAACCATAGGACTGTGAGTTGAATAGTCAGAAAGAAAAGCCTTCAAGTTAGGTGATGTTTTACCTATATAAAATTTTACCATGTTACTTTTTATTTATTTATTTATTTTTTTTATTTTTTATTTTTTTGACAGGCAGAGTGGACAGTGAGAGAGAGAGACAGAGAGAAAGGTCTTCCTTTGCCGTTGGTTCACCCTCCAATGGCCGCCGCGGCCGGCGCGCTGCGGCCGGCGCACCGCGCTGATCCGATGGCAGGAGCCAGGAGCCAGGTGCTTTTCCTGGTCTCCCATGGGGTGCAGGGCCCAAGCACCTGGGCCATCCTCCACTGCACTCCCTGGCCACAGCAGAGGGCTGGCCTGGAAGAGGGGCAACCGGGACAGAATCCGGCGCCCCGACCGGGACTAGAACCCGGTGTGCCGGCGCCGCTAGGCGGAGGATTAGCCTAGTGAGCCGCGGCGCCGGCTACCATGTTACTTTTAAAATTAAACATAAATCAGGTGGTACCGTGGCTCAATAGGCTAGTCCTCCGCCTTGCGGCGCAGGCACACCGGGTTCTAGTCCCAGTCGGGACGCCGGATTCTGTCCCGGTTGCCCCTCTTCCAGGCCAGCCCTCTGCTGTGGCCCGGGAGTGCAGTGGAGGATGGCCCAAGTCCTTGGGCCCTGCACCCCATGGGAGACCAAGATAAGCATCTGGCTCCTGCCATGGGATCAGCGCAGTGCGCCGGCAGCAGCGCGCTGGCCGCCGCGGCCATTGGAGGGTGAACCAACGGTAAAGGAAGACCTTTCTCTCTGTCTCTCTCTCTCACTGTCCATTCTGCCTGTCAAAAAAAAATTAAACATAAATCAGGGAGTTGACTTATTTAAAAATATATACCAGATTTAACTGTTAGACTTAACAGTTATTAAGCAGTTTATATTTTCATTAGTCTTCATATCTACAGTAAAAGAATCAAAAGAGCAACATTTATTTGGTAATAACATATATTCTATTTCTTCTACAGAAAATGATAGAAACCAGTGGAAAGAATAATATATTGGAAATGAAGTTGGAAAAGACTAAGTGTTTGTTAAAATTATTGCAAACAAAGGAGGTTGCAATTAAAGAAGGTTGGTTCTTTGTTACATGGACAATACTAGTTTTTTTTTAATGGCTGCACCATTTTTCTTTAAGATTTACTTGCTGTTTGAAAGGCACAGTAACAGAGATGGAGAGAGAGAGAAAGAGAGATTTTCCATCTATTGGTTTACTCCCCAAATGACCTCAAGGGCAAGGGGATCAGATTATAAGACTTCTTAAGCTTTTAAGCCGTGTAAGAGATTGCCAAACTATTTTCCAAAGAGGCTGTACCAATTTGAATTCCCATCTGCAATGAATGTGTTTTACATCCTTGTCAGTCTTTTAAATTTTGGCCATTCTAATTGGTGTGTATTAATATCTCATTGTTTTAATTTTCAGTTTTCTAGTGACAAATGATGTTAAACATTTTGTCATGTGCTTGCCTGCCATCTGTATATCTTCTTTGGTGAAGCATCAGTTCACATCTTTAGCTCATTTTTAATTGAATTGTTATCCTGTGTTGAGTTCTGAGAGTTCTATGCGTATTTTGGATAACAACCCATTCTCTGACATGTTTTAGAGAGGTTTTCACCCAGCTTATGGTTTTTCGTTTCATTTCTAAGTATAATTGACATTTAACAATGGAAAAATTCTTCATAGAAGATAAATTAATTTTAAAGATTGAAAAAGAAAGACAAATGACAACAGGTATGCAACTCATATCACAGACAAGTTAATGAGAGGCCAGTAATAATAGCACAATAGGAAAGGACATGGTGCTTTGGACCACAGAAAAAGAAAAGCAAATGATTCATAAATAAATGAAAATATGAGCTCTCATAATTTATAAATTTTATATTATCATTTTTGTAACAGATTGACAGTGGTAAGAATGTTTAATATTCTAATTTGTAAGTATGTAGAGAAACAGTCATTCTTATATATTGCTAATTAGGGGATAAATTCTCTGCAGAATATAGTTTAACAATATCTACCAAAACTGAAAATTCACATGCCCCTAGAACCCATTATGCTTCTAGGTAAACTTTTTTCCCCCCAGAAGCCTTTTATTTCAGGAATACAAACTTCATGCTTTTCATAAATACAGCTTTAGGAACATAGTGATTCTTCCCACTTTACCTGCCCTCCCACACCTCCTCCTCCTCCCTCTCCTATTCCCATTCTTAATTTTTACTAAGATCTATTTTTAAAAGATTTTATTTATTTATTTGATATGTAAAGTTACAAACAAAGAAGAGAGAGAGAGAAAGGTCTTCCATCCACTGGTTCACTTCCCAGTGGCCTCAATGGCCAGAGTGAAGCCAATCAAAGCTAGGAGCCAGGAGCTTCTTCCGGGACTCCCATGTGGGTGCAGGTGCTCAAGCACTTGGGCCATCTTCAACTGATTTCCTAGGCCATAGCAGAGAGCGGGATTCAAACAAGAGCAGCCAGGACTTGAACTGGCACCCATATAGGATTCTGGCACCACAGGCCAGGGCTTAGCCTACTGAACCACAGCGCCAGACCCTAAGATCTATTTTTTCAAGAAAGCTTTTCTTTAATAAACACAGATTTCATAGGTACAGCTTTAGGAATAAAGCAGTTCTTCCCCTCATACCCGCCCTCCCACCCCCACTACCGTCCCACCTCCTACTCCTTCTCCCATCCCATTCTTCATTAAGATTAGTTTTTAATTAACTTTAGATACAGAAGACTAACTCTATACAAAGTAAGAAATTCCAGAATTTGCACCACACAGACACACAAAGTATAAAGCACTGTTTGAAGACAAGTTTTAGCTGGTGCCGTGGCTCACTAGGCTAATCCTCTACCTATGGCTCCAGCACCCCGGGTTCTAGTCCTGGTTGGGGCACCAGTTCTGTCCTGGTTGCTCCTCTTCCAGTCCAGCTCTCTGCTGTGGCCCGGGAGTGCAGTGGAGGATGTCCCAGGTCCTTGGGCCCTGCACCTGCATGGGAAACCAGCAGGAAGCACCTGGCTCCTGGCTTTGGATCAGCGCAGTGCACCGGCCGCAACACGCTGGCCATTGCAGCCACTGGGGGGTGAACCAATGGAAAAAGAAAGACCTTTCTCTCTGTCCCTCTCTCTCTCTCTCTCTCTCTCTCACACTAACTCTGCCTGTCAAAAAAAAAAAAAAGAGAGAACAAGTTTTATAGTTAATTCTCATAGTGTATAATAATTCACTTAGAAAGGAAGAACAAACTACACATAATTGGATTTATTCAACAAAGAAAATTATATCTGGATATTTAAGTTCTACATTTAATGCTAGATGAGGAATTTCTTTACTAGTTCAAAGTGGCAGTATTATTTATACTATAGATGGCACTGTAACTAAGTACTGTAGAAACTCCTTTACATACATTATTTATTTAATTTAAAAGTCAGAGTTACAGAGAGGGAGAGATAGAGAAACAGATCTTCCATGCATTGGTTCACTCCCCAGACGGATGCAACAGCCAACACTGAGCCAGGCCAAAGCCAGTAGCCCCATCTAGGTATCCCACATAGGTGGCAGGGATCCACACACCTGGTCCATTTTTCAGTGCTTTTTCCAGGCCAGTAGCAGAGAGTTGGATCAGAAGCGGAACATATGAGATTCTGGCATCACAAGCAGCAGCTCTACAAGCTATGCCACAACACCACCACACTAAATACATAGTTTTGTTTAACAGTTCCAATTGTTCTACAAAGTATATATTAATTCCCAAATTTCTGGTTAATGTAAAAGCCTATATTTATGTTCAACATGATCACTGATCTACTAAATTATGTAGCATAAGAAATAGCAACTCTGATTTCTGGATAGTGTTTTTAAAACTGCATAGTAAAGTCCAATGGAAAACGTAATATGTATTAAGGTATCAAAGAGAATTAAAAACTATTATTCTAAGTTAGTGAATGTTATCCTGCCTTATGACAAATTCCATATCAAGTCAGTATCCATTGCATTAAAAAATATGGTGGGAGAGCCACCTTGTGTTCAAATTTAGAAAATGCACATTTAAAAATTTTTTTTTCCACTGTGCTTAGTATTCTTTATTTCAAAGTAATTTGGGATCACATTGAAAGTTGTAGTATCATATGTAGGTTTCATTTTTCTTCATAAGACTTTGATTAGAATGACTTTTTCCCCAAGAGACCTTTTATTTAGAGAATAAAAGCTTCATGCATTTCATAAATACAACTTTAGAAACATAGTAATTGTTCCTACCGTACCCACCCTTCTACTCACACTCCACCATTCTTCCTCCTCCCTCTCCTTATTCTCATTATTTTTTACTAATAAGATCTATTTTCAATTAACTTTATACACATAAGATTAACTCCATACTAAGTATTCAACAAATAGTACAAAAAAAAAGTGTTGAGGAACAGTTTCTCTTTTGATTTCTTCTATTACCCACTGTTCATTCAGGAGCATGTTGTTCAGTCTCCATGGGTTTACATACCATGGAGATTCTTGAGTTGTTGATTTCTAGCTTCATTCCATTGTGGTCAGAGAAGACGCATGGTATGATCCTGACCTTATTTTAATTTGCTGAGACTTACTTTATGACCTAGCATGTGGTCTATCCTAGAGAAAGTTCCATGCACTGGTGAGAAGAATATGTGTTCTGCAACTGTAGGATGAAAAGTTCTGTAGATATCCATTAGGTCCATTTGGTATATAGTGTCAATTAACTCTATTTTGTCAGGTTGATCTGTCCATTGCTGAAAGTGAAGTATTGAAGTCCCCCAATACTATTATATTGTAGTCTAAGTCTCCATTTAGATAACCAGGCACCTTGTAATTGGGTGTGTATACTTTTATTATGTCACTTCCTGTTGAATTGATCCCTTAATCATTACACAGTGCCCTTCTTTGTCTCTTTCAACAGTATTTGTGTTAAAGTCTATTTTGTCTGATTTTAAATGGCTACACCAGCTCTTTTTTGGTTTCCATTAGCCTGAAGTATCTTTTTCCATCCTTTCACTTTCAGTCTGTATCTTTGTTGGTGAGATGTGTTTCTTGTAGGCAGCAAATAGATGGGTCTTAGTTTTTAATCCATGCAGCCAGTCTGTATCTTTTAATTGAATAGTTGAGTCCATTTACATTCAAGGTTGACTACTGATAAGTAACAACTTTGCCATGTCATTTTTTGATAAATATTCTTATCTTTTACTTTGAATTTCCTTTGTACTTTTACTGGGAGATTTTCTGCCTTCACATTCTTTTGTAGTGATGACCATGTTTCTGTGTTTCTGTAGCATATCCTTAAGCATCCTTCATAAGGCTGAATGAGTGGTGAGAAATTCTTGCAACTTCTGCTTGTTATGGAAAGTCTTTATTTCACCTTCATTCATAAATGAGAGCTTTGCAGGGTACAATATTCTGGGTTGACAGTTTTTTCTCTTTAGACTTAGAATATATCTCACATGCTCTCCTAGACTGTAGAGTTTCTGATGAGAAGTCAGCTGTGAGTCTAATTGGAGATCCTCTGAAAGTAATCTGGCAATTCTCTCATACAAGTTTTAGAATATTTTCTTCATATTTTGTTGTGGAGAGTTTGACTACAATATGTTGTGGTGAAGATCTTTTCTGGTCATGTCTATTAGGAGTTCTGTGTGCTTTCTGAACTTGGACATCCCTTTCTTTCTCCAAATTAGGGAAGTTTTCTGTAATTATTTCAAGGTGTTCTAATCCATTCTCTCTTTCCACGCCTTCAGAAACTCATAAGACCCTTATATTGGGTTATTTGATAGTATCACATAGAACTCCAACACTGTTTTTTAGTTTTCTAATTTCTTCTTCTTCTACTTCTTCTTCTTCTTCTTTTTTTTTTTTTTTTTTGGTCTGACTGTAAAATGTTCAGAGATTTGTCTTTTTTGTCTTCCAATTCAGATATTCTTCCTTTTGTCTCACTGATTCTGTTATGGCTTTCCATTGCATTTTTTATTTGTTCTATTGATTTCTTCACTTCCAATATTTCATTGTGACTTCTCTTTAAAATTTCAGTTTCATGAGAAAAATTTTTTTCTCAAAATTAGGGAAGTTTTCTGTTATTATTTCACTAAAAAGTCCTTTGAATCCTTTCTCTCTTTCCACACCTTCAGAAACTCCTAGAACCCATATGTTGGGTCATTTTATAGAATCCTATAGATTCCCAACAGTGTTTTTTAGTTTTCTAATTTCCTCTTTTTGTCTTTGGTTTGACTGTATCATTTCCTGTGCTTTCTCTTCTAAGTCCAATATTCATTCTTCTGCTTCACCAATTCTGTCATTAAGGCTCTCTACTGCATATTTTATATTTGCTCTATTGAGTTCTTCATTTCATTTCTTTCTCTTTAAGATCTCAGGTTCATGGGAGAAATTTTCTTTCAGGTCCTGTATGGATTTCAGTAGTTCGTGCATTTGCATCTGATTACTTTTATGTAATCTTACGATCAATTTTTTAATTCAATGTCCAGCAGTTACAAATCACACCTGCCTGCTCTTGGCTAGTTAGAGGACACTGGTGCTTGGTGGCCAGAGAAAGAGAAACGTGCCATCTTTTTTTTTTCCTCTAGGTTGGCAGATACACCATCCACCACAGGGCTCTAAGCCAGATTCACCCCAGGCTCTTCCTGCACCTTTATCACCAGTGGCTTGGGCTGCTGCAGTCTGCTCTCACCTCACTCTCCAATGTTCGTGCTGAGGCTCTCGGCTGCTAGGGTCCTGAGTTTGCGCATCCATACCCTCCATGTAAATCCACAATGTCCCTCTAATTTGTGTGGAGTTTTCTCTGTCATTTTCTCCCTAACTTTTTGCATGAGATTGTATTCTCTCCACTATTTTTTAACTATCTTGCCCTAGACTAGAGCAGTAAGCTACCTCCCTATTCTGCCATCTAGGTACTGCTCCCAAATCTCACATTTTTAAAGCATCTATACTTTCAGTTATAGGGCTCTGTTTTCAATTTGCTGATTGGTGACATAGTTTCAACTACAGCTACTGTAACTGATGAATTGCTGGATTAATTACTCTAAAAGACAAAAAGACAAGTGATGACATTGATTATACATTTATAATTTTTAAATTATAGCAATTAGCAAAGCACTATACACAAAGCAGCAAATGGCCATATGTAATTTAATCACCATTCCAAATGGGAAAATAGAGACAACAAAGGCTAGTTTGAGCTTTGCCCTATTGGTAGTGATGACAGTATGAGGGTAGAAAGAAGTAAAAGACAACAATAGTAAGATCTTGTATCTGCAGAAAACTTAATTTCTGCAAAATACTTTGTTTTATATAAGCATAGTTGAATAAAGCATATGGTGACTTAGGACAGACACTTTCATTGAAAGATGAGAATTTTTTCATTGCCCTATTACAATATTGGTTCTTTCATTCAGTCAATAAAATAAACTTTATTTTTGGGCCACAGATTCTCCATTTATTCCTCCCCTGTTCTAGCTTACTGTGATATCACCTATATATCCACCAGTCATTCAACAAATATTTGTAGATTTCCTACTGTGTACCACAGCTGTTTTAAATACTAGCATGAGGGGCCAGCGCCGTGTTGTAGCAGGTAAAGCCACTGCCTGCAATGCCAGCATCCCATCTATGCCCCAGTTCAAGTCCCGACTGCTCCACTTCTGATCTAGCTCTCTGCTGTGACCTGGGAAAACAGAAAATGGCTGAAGTCCTTGGGTACATGCACCCTTATAGGAGACCCAGAAGAAGCTCCTGGCTTCTGGCTTTGAATTGGCCCTGCTCAGGTTGTTGTGACCATTTGGGGAGTGAACCAGTGGATTGAAGATCTCTCTCTCTCTCTGCCTCTGCCTCTCTGTAACTCTGTCTTTCAAGTGAATAAGTACATCTCTAAAAATAAATAAATAAATACTAGTGTGAAATAGTGGACAAGACAAAAAATAGTCTTCTGTTGTGTACTTAATAGCCAAATGGACTTCTAAAGCCATACAAATTTCCACCACTATTTTTCCCCCTCAAAGATGTGGCTGTTGGGGACTACACTGTGACACAGCAATTTAAGTCACCACCTAGGAAGCCAGCATCCCATATTTGAGCTCTCATTTGAGCCCTGTCTGTTCTGTTTCCAATCTAGTAAAAGATGGCCCAATTGTGTGGGCCCCTGCCACTCACATGGGAGACCTGAACAGAGTTCCAGACTCCTGACTTTGGCCCAGACCAGCCCTGGCCATTGTGGCCATTTGGGAAATTAACCAGTGCATGGAAGAGATCTCTCTCTCTCTCTCTCCCTCCCCGCTTTCCTTTCCTCCCTTCCTCGCTCCTTACCTACCCCTATAACTCTGCATTTCAAATAAGTAAATAAGTAAATCATTGAAAGAAAGACTCAGGCATGAGTATCAAGAGGAAAAGTTGAAGGACAGTAAGGAAAACATTGTCCAACACATTCTTACCAACTCTGGCCGTCTTTTGTTTTGCACAAAAGTTTACATAATTTCTTTCCTTAGAGTATAGTTTCATGGAAAATTTGTATTTATGCACCCTTCATAGCCTCCCACATATGTTCAGGTATGACATTTATAGGGCAGAAATTGCTAAGGTACATGGGAGCATCCCTACTCTATCATGCTTTAGAAAACTCATTACTAAATCTTGAAATTCATTTGATTTGAAAGCTTCATTACAATTTTACTATATATGTGGTGGGCATTTGACACAATGGTTAAAGCATTACTTGTGATGCCAGCATCACATATTGTAGTGCCTGAATTTGAGTCCTCATTCTGCTTCTAATTCAGCTTCCTGCTAATGTGCATCCTGGGAAGCAGCAGGTGATGGCTCAAGAACTGCATCCCTGCCACCCATATGAGAGACTCAGATAGAGCTTGGGGCTCCTGGCTCCAACCTGATCAAGCACCAGCTGTTGCGGGCATTTGGAGAATGAACCAGCAGATGAAAGCTCTGTATTTCTCTCTTTATATCCCTGTCAGTCTGTCTTTCAAATAAAGCAAATAAATAAATCAAACTTTAAAATCATTATATAATTTATTTTGAGATGCCTAATTGCTTTTAAGATTTCTTAATTATCAAGTAAATATTATTTTAATTATTTCAACTGAGAGAATTATTCCAAAATGAAAGCATTTACAAATAAGTTTTTCTTTTTGTTTTAGAATGTACTACTCTTCATAATATGATAAAAGGGTTACAACAGACCATTGAATATCAACACAATTTGAAAGGTAAAGTAACATGATTTACTTGAGCACCTCTAGGGAATTTTTTGTGTCATTAACAATAAGTCCATTTTAATTTGATCTTATTCAATTTATTATCTAAAGGAAAGACTCTTATTAGTACTATAGTTCCAATATGATTATGAAATAAATGCTGTACTGAATAGAACAATTTGGTAACGTTCTCTTATAGAAATTTCAAGAGATGTTTTACAGTAATTCAAACCAATTCTTTAGTATATTTATTTTCAGTAGCAATGATTTTTAAAAACTTCAGTTTTGAAAAGTGGGTATTTACTACTTAAACCATGACTAAACTGTTCAAAACTCAGTGATAAATTATCATTTAATTTTTTGTCTTAGACTAAGACTACATTAACAGTGAAGCCAACATATTCAGTATATCTTTATTGACATTCTTTTTCATTTTTTAAAAAAATCATTTTGAGAGACAGACACCTAGGGACAGAGAGGAAGAGAGAGAGAGAGAGACAGAACACGTGATACTCCCATCTACTGGTCACTCCTTAAAATGCCTGCAACAACTTGAGCTAGGCTAAACCTAAGCCAAAGCTGGAAGTTGGGAACCAAATTTCATGGGTGATGGAAAAACCAAGTACTTGAACCATCACCACTGCCTTCCCAGGGTCGTCATTAGCAGAATGTTGGAGCCAGGAACTAGAACTGTAAATCAAACCCAGATACTCCTATATGGGATCTGAGCATCTTAACTAACAGGCTAAATGCCTACCATTATCCTACTTTTAAGAGGCCTGCCATTCAGGAAACAGAGCAACTAAATATTCTGATTCAGCTGTGGGAAGACTGTGAAATTTTCTTTGAGTTTATTAGAGATTATTAAACTAAATGCTCTTAAAGGTCCTTTCCAACATAAAACTCCTTTGAAATAAGCGTTTATCATCTTAAGCCTCTGCTTTTAAAAATATTATTTATTTTTACTTATTTGAAAGGCAGAGCAATAGAAAGAGTATTGTTCCATCCTCCAGTTCCCTCCCCAAATACTTATAAGGATTGGGCTATGCTTAATCCAGGAGACAGGAACTCCATCCAGGCCTTCCATAATAGCAGAGCGCAAAGTAAATGAGCCAATTTCTGCTGCCTTCCAGGAAGCTGGATCAGAAGCCAAATTTGGACTTGTACCCAGGTACTCCAATATGGAATGCTAGCATCCCAAGTGATGCCTTAACCCTCTGTGCCACAACACTTGCTTTAGCCTCTACCTTTATCATATAAGAAAGTACTGTATATAAATAAGTGAGATAGAATATTGATCATTATCCACATTCCCAGATACTCTTTTTAGTATATAACTCCATATTCGTATATTCATTGTTCAAAATTCATTGATGACTCCCGGTAGCCTATTAAAAAATCCAAAGACTTTAAGAAAATTGGGTATAGAAGGAACATTCTTCAACACAATCAAGGCAATTTATGACAAACCCATGGATAGCATCCTATTGAATGGGGAAAAATTGGAAGCATTCCCACTGAGATCCAGAACCAGAGAAGGATGCCCACTCTCAACACTGCTATTCAATATAGTCCTGGAAGTTTTAGCCAGAGCCATGAAGCAAGAAAAAGAAATCAAAAAGATACAAATTGGGACGGAGGAAGTCAAACTATCCCTATTAGCAGATGAAATGATTTTATATATATATATATATGGGACCCAAAAGACTCCACTGAGAGACTATTGGAACTCACATAAGAGTTTGGTAAAGTGGAAGGATATAAAAATCAACACAGAAAAATCAATAGCTCTTCTATATACAAACAATGCTACTACTGAGAAAGAATTTCTAAGATCAATCCCATTCAAAATAGCAACAAAAAAAGATCAAATACCTTGGAATAAATTTAACCAAGGATGTCAAAGATCTCTGCAATGAGAATTATAAAACTTTAAAGAAAAAAATAGAAGACACAAGAAATAATGGAAGAATCTTCCATGTTTATCGATTGGAAGAATCAATGTCATCAAAATGTCCATACTACCCAAAGCAATTTACAGGTTGAATGGGATACCAATTAAAATACTAAAGACATTCTGATATATAGAAAAAATGATGCTGAAATTCACATGGAAAAACAGGAGACCTTGAATACCTACAGCTATCTTATACAACAAAAACAAAGCCAAAGGCATGACAATACCGATTTAAAGACATACTACAGAGCAATTATAATTAAAACAATCTGGTACTGGTACAAAAATAAATGGATAGAACAATGGAACAGAATAGAATTGCTATAAATCACCCATGAAACTACAATCAACATAGCTTTGACAAAAGAGCTGAAACCAATTCCTGGAGCAAGGACAGTCTCTTTAACAAATGGTGCTGGGAACAATGAATCTCCATTTGCAGACATATGATGCAAGACCTCTATATTACACCTTACACAAAACTCCCCTCAAAATGGATTTAAGAACATAATCAATGCCTCAACATCATCAAATTACTAAATAACAATGGGGAAAATCCTACAAGACATTAATATAGGCAAAGAGTTCTTAGAAAAATCCTCAGAAGCACAGGCAATCAAAGTCAAAATTAACAAATGGGATTACATCAAATTGAGAAGCTCCTGCACTGCAAAAGAAACACTTAGTAAAGTTAAGAGGCAACTGACAGAATGGGAGAAATTTTTTTTTCTGAATCTGTTTTTTTTTTAACTTTTATTTAATTAATATAAATTTCCAAAGTACAGCTTATGGATTACAATCTCTTTTCCCCCCCCATAACTTCCCTCCCACCTGCACCCCTCCCTTCTCCCGCTCCCTGTCCCATTCCATTCACATCAAGATTCATTTTCAATTATCTTTATATACAGAAGATCAGTTTAGCAGATATTAAGTAAGGTTTCAACAGTTTGCACCTACACAGAACAAGAAGTGTAAAATACTGTTTCAGTACTAGTTATAGCATTAAATCACAATATACAGCACATTTAGGACAGAGATCCTACATGAGGAGTAAGTGCACAGTGACTCCTGTTGTTGACTTAACAATTTGACACTCTTGTTTATGGCATCAGTAATCTCCCTAGGCTCTTGTCATGAGTTTCCAAGGCTATGGAGGCCTTTTGAGTTCACCAACTCTGATCATATTTAGACAGGGTCATAGTCAAAATGGAAGTTCTCTCCTCCCTTCAGAGAAAGGTACCTCCTTCTTTGATGACCTGTTCTTTTCACTGGGATCTCACTCACAGAGATCTTTCATATAGGTTGTCTGTTTGTTTGTTTGTTTTTTGCCAGAGTGTCTTGACTTTCCAGGCCTGAAATACTCCCATGGGCTCTTCAGCCAGATCCGAATGCCTTTAGGGCTGATTCTGAGGCCAGAGTGCTGTTTAGGACATCTGCCATTCTATGAGTCTGCTGTGTATCCCGCTTCCCATGTTGGATCATTCTCTCCCTTTTTGATTCTATCAGTTAGTATTCGCAGACACTAGTCTTTTTTATGTGATCCCTTTGGTTCTTAGTGCTATCATTATGATCAATTGTGAACAGAAATTGATCGTGTGGACTAGTGAGATGGCATTGGTACATGCCACCTTCATGGGACTGAATTGGAATCCCCTGGCACGTTTCTAACTCCACCGTTTGAGGCAAGTCAGCTTGAGCATGTCCCAAATTGTACATCTCCTCCCTCTCTTATTCCCACTCTTATATTTAACAGGGATCACTTTTCAGTTAAATTTCAGGAGAAATTATTTGTAAAACATGCAACCAATAAAGGATCAATAACCAGAATATATAAAGAGATCAAGAAACTCAACAGCAACAAAACAAACAACCCAGTTAAGAAGTGGTCAAAGGACTTAAACATTTTTCAAAAGAAGAAATCCAAATGGCCACAGACACATAAAAAATGTTCAGAAACACTAGCCATCAGGGAAATGCAAATCAAAACCACAATGAGGTTCCACCTCACCCCCATTAGAATGGCTTTTATACAGAAATCAACAAACGAAAAATGCTGGCAAACATGTGGGGACAAAGATACCCTAATCCACTGTTGGTGGAAATGTAAACTCTGTGGACGACAGTATGGCGATACCTCAGAAAGCTGAATATAGATCTACTATGTGAACCAGCCATCCCTCTCCTGGGAATTTACCCAAGGCAATTAAAAATCAGCATATGAAAGAGTTATTTGTACCCCAATGTATTTGTTCCCCAGCTCAATTCACAATAGCTAAGAATGGAATCAACCCAAATACCCATCAACTGAAGACTGGATAAAGAAATTATGGGATACATACACCATGGAAAACTACATAGTGGTAAAATAAAAATGAAATCTTGTCATTTGCGATAAAATGAATGAAATTGGAAAACATCATACTCAGTGAAATAAGCCAGTCTAAAAAGGATAAATACCATATGTTATTTCTGATCTGTGATAACTAATAGAGCACCTAAAAAGTAAGCTACGCAAGTGGAATTGACATTTTGAAATGCAGTGACTTTGAACAGCCCTTGTCTCAACAGGAACAGTTTTTTTCATGCTATTTATTGAACTCCTTACTTAGTATAGAGTTAATTGAATATATTATAAATTTAATTGAAACTAAGTCTTAGTAAAAAATAATACAAATAAGAATAGGAGTGGAAGGAGGAAGAGGGGTGGAGGTGGGGGTTGGGAGTGGGGTACAGTGGGAAGAATTACTATGTTCCTAAATTTGTATTTCTGAAATGCACCAAGTTTTTATTCCCTAAATACAAGGTTTCTGTGTAAAAAATAAAATCACATATTTAAAAAGAATCCAGTATTTCATTTTTTTAAAAGATTTATTTATTTATTTGAAAGAGTTAACACAGAGAGAGGAGAGGCAAAGAGAGAGTGAGAGGTCTTCCATCCACTGGTTCACTCCCCTATTGGCTGCAACAGCCGGAGCTGTGCCGATCCAAAGCCAGGAGCCAGGAGCTTCCTCTGGGTCCCCAATGTGGGTACAGGGACCCAAGGACTTGGGCCATCTTGTACTGCTTTCCCAGGCCACAGCAGAGAGCTGGATTGAAAGTGGAGCAGCTGGGAATATGGGATGCCGGTGGTTCAGGCCAGGGCGTTAACCCGCTGAGCAACAGTGCTGGCCCCGGAGTATTTCATTTAGAATATGTCCACTTGAGTGATAGAATAGTGTCCCCTTCTCACATTTTATTTTCCAGCAGTTGTGCTTGAATTTTAGTTTTTCCAAAAGTGCTGTATTCACGCAAGCCTAAGTTCTTTTTTGCAGTTTTGTGTGTCTGAAATGCCTTCCCCTGATACAGGAATTTTCTTTTCTTGAAATCCTTTCCTGACTTCAAGCTGACCTAGTCTTTCTTTCCACAGATTCCCACAGTATTTCAGATACATTGCCATCATTCTCAACACATGCAACTACTTATACATCTATGTCTATCTTTGAAGAGCAATAACTGCTTCTACATTCCTAGGATCTAACACAGCAGAAGATAAATATTTGTTGAATACATACCTGAGTTGAAGCTAAAATGTTAAAATGATCATATATTAATTGAAAAGTGACATGTATTACAATGTTCTTTTTTTATTTTATGCAGGTGAAAATGAACAACTGAAAAGAACTGCTGATCTTATAAAAGAAAAGTTAAAATCTCATGAACAGGTGAATTTATGTATCATTATACTTGAGCAAGTATCTGTAAAGCATTATCTTTACAAATTAAAAAAAAGAGATGATTAATAAGCACAGCCAAATATTTTTGTTTATACACAAAAGTGCATACAAAGAATCTTCAAAAAGTTCATGGAAAACACACATTATGGAAAAACTATGTCTGAAGTTCAGATTTATTTTGCACTAAAATAAACTTATCTTTTAATTCCATTTCCCACAAACTTTGTGTGTAAATACATAATCTTTAAAAAATGAACATTTATTTTTAAGAGCAATACAAATTTTGAGAAGTCTAATGTCTCTATAAAATGTAATCTACTTAATATATCATGTACATTATTTTTTGCTTCTACCACAAAGAGCTGCAGTTATTTTGCTATATATTTTCATTTGTGTTAATAGTCTTTACCATAAAGTAATCTATTGATTATTATTTTGAATTTTTATAATAATGTAATATATGCATACTATTTATGATTTGGGTAATCATTGCACCAATAAATGAAGGGAGTATTTTACATGGATCACAAATTAAATCTCTTTAAAGGGCAATCATACCTATTGGAACAGTAGAGTTTTTACCTTAAAATAATGTTTGATTAGCTATTTTGAAACTTTTATAATAAAGTATAAATGTATAAAAATATATGTATAAAAATGTATGTGTACTTTTCTGATTTGGGTAATCACTTCACCATCTAAATGAAGGGAGTATTTTACATGGATCACAAATTAAATGCCTTTACAGGACAACCATACCTATAGGAATATAGTGATAGCAGTTTTAGAACAAATGAGAGTACTTCAAAAAGCTCATGGAAATAGAACTAAAAGATAAGCTTATTTTGGTGCAAAAATATTTGAAACTGTTCATAATTCACATTTTCTGTGAACTTTCTGAGGATCTGCTGAATGTGTAGATTTCAGAATGTTTTACACAAAGCATTAATTTTATTTTAATTCCATTTTCCAAGAACTTTTCTAAGTATCCTCTTATAGTACAGTGTCTAAAAAAAGTCATAGAAAGTGCTTAATAAATAGCAGTTCACATGTTTCTGCCCTTTGGGATCCTAAAAGACTTTGGGATTTATTATGCTAATTTTTTCATTTCCAAAGAGCCAAAATGTCAAATTATGGCAGATCTAAGAACTCCAAAACTCAAGCTGGATCTAAAACAGGCTTCAATATGAAAACCCTTCTCTAAATTCTGTCTGGTTTCTCATTTAAGGAGCATATGAAAAGAACACAAGCTGTTTCTAGAAACATCTTCAGAACTTCTGGGTAATACTCAGCAGTAATAAAAAGTATTCTAGCTGTGCTTTGTAAAAATTAACTGTTAACCACCAATTTTAAGGTAATGTAAGTACCTCTGGAATTCATCCTACTCTTTTCTTTTTCCTTTATCCTTTCTCCATTCCTCCTGTGTATTGAATCTAGAGTTCAACAGTAGATGGCAAGTTCAGGTTTTAGTTGGAGTAGGAAGACAGAGGGAGAAATTTTTACCTTATATCCCTTCTAAAGCTTTAAGTCCCAGAATACTGCTTTGTCTGGAATTCAAAAGGAAATTTCAGAGGACTGGAAATTAAGGAGGAAACATCACAACCTAACATTCTGAATTTCTTAATTAACTGCTAATGAAGGCAAACTAAAAAATGACCTTTGTCCAAGAGAATTCATTAGTACAAAATTTGCCAAGCACATCCCAAACTTGTGAAGAACAAATTCAGGAAGTACTTAATGGAAATATTTGCAAGGCAGGGAGGATTTTTATAACATGTGTATAGAGAATACTCGAGTTTTATACAACCAGAGGCTATCCTTTGGAATTTTTTTATTTTTTAATTGAAATATAATAAAGATAATATATGTGATTTTGATTTTTGAAAGTTTATTAAGGATGGTCTTCTGCACTAATATATGTTCTATCCTGGAGAATGTTCCAGGTGCTAATGAGAAGAGTGTGAATTCTAAAGCTATTGTGTGTAATGCTCTGATGTTTGTTAAGTCATTTGGTCTATAATATAATTTAATTCCTTTGTTTCTTTATTGATTTTTTTTTATCTGGATGATCTGCCCATTGATAAAAGTGGGGTGTTGGGCCAGCCAGCGCTGTGAGTAGTAAGCTAAGCCTCCACCTGCTGTGCCCGCATCCCTTATGGGTGCCAGTTTGTGTCTCTGCTGCTCCTTTTCTGATCCAGCTCTTTGCTTATGGCCTGGGGAAGCAGTGAAAGATGGCCCAAGTGCATGGGTGACCCAGAAGAAGCTCCTGGTTCCTGGCTTTGATAGGCCCAGCTCTAGCCATTGCGGCCATTTGGGGAGTAAACAAGCGAATGCAAAACCTCACTCTCTGTCTCTCCCTCTGCATGTGTGTCAACTCTGCCTCTCCAATAAATAATCCTTAAAAAAAAAAGATAGGTGTTGAAGTCCCCAACTGTTTCTCCCCTTAGATCTAATCATGTTTGCTTTATAAAATTGGGTGTTCCAGTGTTGGTTGCATATTTATTTATAATTCTTATTTCTTTATTTTCAATGTCTTAAAATTTTCATCTTAAAGTCCATTTTATCTAAATATAGCTAGTCCTGCTACCTGTTGGTATTTACATAGAATATCTTTGTCCAACCATTCACTTTTAGTCTGTTTGTCTTTATGGTGAAGTGAATTTCATTCAGCTACTCTATATCCATGGATTGGGAAATTTTTTCTATTCAATATTATTTATAACATTCAATATTATTATTTTTTATTATTTATTTATTTGACAGGTAGATTTACAGACAGTGAGAGAGAGAGACAGAGAGAAAGGTCTTCCATCCGTTGGTTCACTCCCCAAATGGCCACAATGGCTGGAGCTATGCTGATCCGAAGCCTGGAGCCAGGAGCCTCTTCTAGGTCTCCCATGTGGGTGCAGGGGCCCAAGGATTTGTGCCATCCTACACTGCTTTCCCAGGCCATGGAAGAGAGCTGGATTAGAAGAGGAGCAGCTGGGACTAGAACTGCCGCCTGTATGGGATGCTGGCACTGTAGGCCAGGGCTTTAACCCATTGTACCACAGCGCCAGCCCCTTCTTTTTTCTTTTTTTTATTTAGTAAATATAAATTTCCAAAGTACAGTTTATGGATTACATTGGCTTTCCCCCCCATAATTTCCCTCCCACTTACACCCATCCCATCTCCTGCTCCCTGTCCCATTCCATTCACATCAAGATTCATTTTCAATTCTCTTTATATACAGAAGATCGATTTAGTATATATTAAGTAAAGATTTCATTAGTTTGCACCCACACAGAAACACAAGGTGTAAAATACTGTTTCAGTACTAGTTATAGCATTACTTCACATTGGACAACACATTAAGGACAGACTGTACATGAGGAGTAAGTACACAGTGACTCCTGTTGTTGATTTAACAATTTGACACTCTTGTTTATGGCGTCAGTAATCTCCCTAGGCTCTAGTCATGAGTTGCCAAGGCTATGGAAGCCTTTTGAGTTTGCCAACTTCGATCTTATTCCGAAAGGGTCATAGTCAAAGTGGAAGTTCTCTCCTCCCTTCAAAGAAAAGTACCTCCTTCTTTGATAGCCTGTTCTTTCCACTGGGATCTCACTTGCAGAGATCTTTCATTTAGGGTTTTTTTGTTTTTTGTTTTTTGTTTTTCAAAAATGTCTTGGCTGGGTTATATGGTAGGATTATATTCAGGTTTCTGAGGAATCTCCAGACTGACTTCCATAGTGGCTTAACAAGTTTGCATTCCCACCAACAGTGGGTTAGTGTCCCTTTTTCCCCACATCCTCTCCAGCATCTATTGTTGGTAGATTTCTGAATGTGATCCATTCTAACCGGGGTGAGGTGAAACCTCATTGTGGTTTTGATTTGCATTTCCCTGATTGCTAGTGATCTTGAACATTTTTTCATGTGTCTGTTGGCCATTTGGATTTCCTCTTTTGAAAAATGTCTATTGAGGTCCTTGGCCCATCTCTTAAGTGGGTTGTTTGTTTTGATGTTGTGGAGTTTCTTGATCTCTTTGTAGATTCTGGTTATCAACCCTTTATCAGTTGCATAGTTTGCAAATATTTTTTCCCATTCTGTCGGTAGCCTCTTCACTCTCCTGACCGTTTCTTGTGAAGTACAGAAAGTTCTAATTTGATGCAATCCCAATGTTAATTTTGGCTTTGACTGCCTTTGCCTCTGGGGTCTTTTCCAAGAAGTCTTTGCTGGTACCTATATCATGCAGGGTTTCTACAATGCTCTCTAATAATTTGATGGTTTTGGAACATAGATTTAAGTCTTTAATCCATGTTGAGTGGATTTTTGTGCAAGGTGAAAGGTAGGGGTCTTGCTTCATGATTCTGCACGTGGAAATCCAATTTTCCCAGCACCATTTATTGAATAGACTGTCCTTACTCCAGGGGTTGGTTTTGGATCCTTGATCAAATATAAGTTGGCTGTAGATGTTTGGATTGATTTCTGGTGTTTCTATTCTGTTCCATTGGTCTATCCATCTGTTTCTGTACCAATACCAAGCGGTATTTTTTTTTTTTACAGGCAGAGTGGACAGTGAGAGAGAGAGAGAGAGAGAGAAAGGTCTTCCTTTTGCCATTGGTTCACCCTCCAGTGGCCGCTGTGGCCAGCACGCTGCGGCCTGCGCACCGCACTGACCCGAAGCCAGGAGCCAGGTGCTTCTCCTGGTCTCCTATGGGGTGCAGGGCCCAAGGACTTGGGCTATCCTCCACTGCACTCCCTGGCCACAGCAGAGAGCTGGCCTGGAAGAGGGGCAACCGGGACAGAATCCGGCACCCCAACCAGGACTAGAACCCAGTGTACCAGCGCCGCAAGGCAGAGGATTAGCCTAGTGAGCCATGGCGCCGGCCCACCATGCTGTATTGATAACAACTGCCTGTAGTATGTCCTGAAATCTGGAATTGTGATACCTCCAGCTTTGTTTTTGTTGTACAAGATTGCTTTAGCTATTCAAGGTCTCCTGTGTCTCC